CCTGGAAGAGGGGAAACCGGGACAGAATCCGGCGCCCCGACCAGGACAAGAACCCGGTGTGCCGGCGCCACAAGGCGGAGGATTAGCCTATTGAGCCATGGCGCAGGCCTAACATAGTATCTTGAATTTATTTTAAAATACTTCAAATGTGAATGGTGATTACTAGGTGCTGGGGTGGGAAGGTGGGGACTTGGAGAAATGCTGGTCAAAGAATACAGAATTTCAAGGTGGCTGTTTAGCAGTTATGATACCCACATCCCCCCTCAAAATCCCTGGGTTCAGTTCCCAACTCCAGCTTCTGACTTCAGCTTCCTCCCAGTGCAGATCCTGGGAAGTAGCAGTGTTGGCTCAAGGAGTCGGGTTCCTGCCTCCTATGTGGAAGACCTGGATTACATTTCCAGCTCCCAGCTCTGGCCCTGGCCCAGTCTCAACCATGAGGGCATCTGGAGAGCAAACCAGCAGATGGGGCTCTCTCTCTCTCCCTGTCTCTCTCTCTCTCTCTCTCTCCTTGTCTCTCTGCTTTTCAAATGAAAAAAGAAATATGAAATTTCAATTAAATAATAGAAATAAGTTCAAGAGATAAACTGTGACAACACGGCGATTAAAGTTAATAGCGGCCGGCACCGCGGCTCACTAGGCTAATCCTCTGCCTGCAGCACCGGCACACTGGGTTCTAGTCCCAGTCGGGGCGCCGGATTCTGTCCCAGTCGCTCCTCTTCCAGTCCAGCTCTCTGCTGTGGCCTGGCAAGGCAGTGGAGGATGGCCCAAGTGCTTGGGCCCTGTACCCTGCACCTGCAGCGTGCCGGCCACAGCGGCCATTGGAGGGTGAACCAACAGTAAAGGAAGACCTTTCTCTCTGTCTCTCTCTCTCACTGTCCACTCTGCCTATAAAAAAAATAATAAAATAACAATTTAAAAAATAAAGTTAATAGCAATATATTGTATACTTGAAAAATGCTAAGAGAATTGACGAAATGCTCACACCATTAGAACTACAACAATGTGAGATAATGCATATATGAATTGACTCAAATTAGCAATACCATAATGTATATGTACTCAAAAACATCATGTTGTACAAGATAAATATATACAATTTTTTAGTTGATCAATTTAAAAAATAAAATGTGGGATGAGCATCTGGCCCAGCTGTTGCGATGCTGGTATGGAAATCCATGTTCCATTTCAGAGTGCCTGGGTTATAGTCCTGACTCCAGCTTCCTGCTAATACAAACCCCAGGAGACAGTGGAAATGTCTCTAGTATTTGGGTTCCTACCACACTTGTGGGAGACCTGGATTGAGTTCCTGGCTCTTAGCCGTTGGGGGCCACTGGGGAGGAGACCAACAAATGGCAGCTTTCTCTCCCCCTCAACCCCATCCCTCTCAGGTAAACATTTTTTCTTAAGATTTCATTTTTTTATTTGATTGGCAGAATTACAGACTGAGAGGGATAGACAGAGAGAAATGTCTTCCATGCACTGGTTCACTCCTGAAGTAGCCACAACGGCCAGAATTGGGCCGATCTGAAGCCAGGAGCCAGGAGCTTCCTCCAGGTCCCCAACATGGGTGCAGGAGCCTAAGGACTTGGGCCATGGTCCACTGTTTTCCCAAGCCATAACAGAGAGCTGAATCAGAAGAGGAGCAGGCAGAACATGAACCAACGTCCATATCGGATGCTGGTGTCACGGGCAGAGGCTTAGCCTACTATGCCATAGCGCTGGCCCCAATATTTTTTTTAAGAAGGGATGCTTCCCCTCAATTAAAAAAATTTTAGAAATAATAAAATACTGCAGATTTTTTTTTAAAAAGGCTGGAGGAAACAAGATGGGCTCAATGTTGATCAATACTGAAGCCAATTTATAGGACACAGAGGTTCCTTAAATATTCACCCTACTTTTGTGTGTGTGTGTAATGTTCCATCATTAAAATTAAGAGGAAAAAATGAACTCAAGGATAAATTTACTTAGTAAGACATGACCGTATGGTGGCCTAATCTCATTTGGATCACTTACAAACTAAGTGACTTTGGAAACTCAACAAGACCTTAGGGATCCTCTGAATTGCAGGAAGTCGATGACAAAGAGGTAACTGGGTGATCCAGGACACATAGCCAGCCAGTGGATCACCAGGGGGGAAACCTACATTCTCTATACAGCCTTTTTTCCCTCCATTACATCAAAGACCAGTCATTTAATCTTCCTGGAACTCGGTGTCTTTATTCCCAAAACCAAAACACCACCATGAATTCTCTCTACTTCATTCACAATTACCCTGGGGACTGAATGAGAAAATGGTCTGAGGGGGCTTTGAAAAACTATTCACAACCACTACAGTATTTCCAGTATAGAACACAAAAAAAGGGGAATGGGATGGGGAGGAGAAATTTAAAAAATACCACAACAGACAGATTTTAATACTACCCAGCCAAAATCAGCATAACCTCCCCGTGAGTGAATCAGAAAACTTGGAGGGGAGCAACAATCGCTCCAAATTAAACCCACATAAAATAGCTCATCCCACGGCTCCACCTGAGAGAGCCTCCCACCTGACACTAGTTGCCCTGCAGGGTATCCCTTCTTTTTCCTTGGCAAATCCTTTGCCTGAAAGCCATATGGTTCTGTGTGGAGGGCTCAGGCACAATAGTATGCACCTGCCAACCAAGAGGTGTGACTTCTCTAATTAGCAAAGCCTGTTCAAGTGTTTGGCCACCAGCTGACAGATACTGGTGCTGACAGTGAGGAGGGTGCAGGGAGAGGGAGAGATGTGGTGTTTGAGGGACAGAATTCTTCCATTAAACTGATTCATCTTTGACTCATCTTCCCCCTTCCTCCACCTTGGGAGTTGACGGACGTCAGCAGCATAATTGGCTAGTTGACTAACAGACATTGAGAGAAGTTGGATGCCCCCTTGGGGTCACCTACTCTGTGGAGTGACTATAAAACAAGCCTAGGACCATGAGGGAAAGGCTAGGACTGGTGATATCCAGAGGAAGGGAGACAGAGAGAACATGGGAGAAGTAGATCCTCACCTTGCCACATCCATTCCACGCTAGCAAGCAATGGACTGCTGGAAGAGCCTGAGTGTGTTCCCAGGGGCCACAGAGGGATTTTCCATGTATAAAGTTCATGCCGTGATTCCAAATACTTGTAAAAGAGAGGTCATGTGAGGAGCGCAAAGAGCCCCAGTGGGAGTGGGAGTCTAAAGCAATTATTTCTTTCCATAATTGTGCATTCAACAAACCAGTGCTTAGCATCTACTCCATGCTAGGTGCTAGACCAGGTGTTGGGGATGCAAAGGTAATGTGAAGACTGGGAAGTGCAAGGAGTGTGTAGGCTAATGGGAGACACAACAGAACAGGCTTTGTGCAGTACCACTATACCTTGCTTTCTGCAGAGACCTCTAACTCAGAGGACGGTAGTTGAATCTAGACTCCCCATCCATTTGTTGGGTGATCTTGCTTCAGATCTCTCATCTTTCTGAGATTTCGTTTCCTTACGTGTAAAACATGAATACAACTGCCTTTCCCTTTTACATAAGGTTCAAGTGATATGTATCTAAGAGTTTGTAGATAGCCAACTGCATTTCAGCAGCACCACTAATGGAGTTGTGCCTTTCTCTGTACAAGGAAGACTTGAGGCCGGCGCCGCAGCTCACTAGGCTAATCCTCCGCCTTGCGGCGCCGGCACCCAGGGTTCTAGCCCCACTCGGGGCGCCAGATTCTGTCCCGGTTGCCCCTCTTCCAGTCCAGCTCTCTGCTGTGGCCCAGGAGTGCAGTGGAGGATGGCCCAAGTACTTGGGCCCTGCACCCCATGGGAGACCAGGATAAGTACCTGGCTCTTGCCATCGGATCAGCGCGGTGTGCCAGTGCAGCACGCCGGCCACAGCGGCCACTGGAGGGTGAACCAACAGCAAAGGAAGACCTTTCTCTCTCTCTCTCTCTCTCTCACTGTTCACTCTGCCTGTCAAAAAAAAAAGAAAAGAAAAGAAAAAAAAGAAAGAAAGACTTCAGACTTCCAGAAAATTATGTATCAACTTGGTCTCTCTTCACTGATGCTTGTAAGACCTCACAAAAGAAAATAATCACGTGACAAGGGCTCCTAATATAGGGAGATATGTGGAGAGACACGATTGTCTAATCAATATATGTGTTCCAATGAAGCACAAAATACCACTCATTAGCACTTACTTACTTCCAAGCACTACACAATGTGTTTAACACACATACAAACTTCTCACTTAATACCCAAAAATACCCTGGCTAATTAATTTTATTATCCTCACTTTCCCGATGAGGAAACTGAGACCCAGAAAAGTGAATCCACTAGCCCAAAGCCACACAGCCAGCAGGTGGAGATGCCTTGATTCGAACCTAAATCGGCCTGACTCTGGGGCCTTTTGTTTTTAAGCCTCAGACTGCACCATCTCCATAGCTGCTGGGAAAGCACAAAGCCATGATCTCAGCAAGCCAGAGAGCCAGGCACAGAGTAGAGAGGTGACAAAGATGGGAGAGATCACCAAGTTCCTTAGCTCTCCATTCTTACCCCCAACTCATTTTACATAAGAAGAACGATCACTGCTAATCCCATGATTTTCCTACCAAACAGCCTGATCTTGGCTGCTGATTCGCTGACCAGGACCTCACAAAGATCAATGCAGTCAAGGATGAGGAGTGACCACTTCTCACCTCCCTGTCTCTCCTCCTCCAATAGCCAGCCTCCATCTGGACCAGCTGTTCTGGGATTCAGGGCATCAGAATCACCTAGAGGGCTTCTAAAAACTGAGATGGCTGCCTCTACCCCTGAGTTTCTGAGTTAGGAGCTGGAGGGGAGAGTGGTGCAAGAATTCATATTTTTTACCAAGTTCCCAGGTGGTGCAGGTGTTTCCATTCCAGAAGCCACACTTGAGAACCTCTAGTATCTAGCACTGATCTTGGAAATAAGTAGGCATTAAATATAATATTTCTCCAAAAACTAGTTGCTCCTGAACATGTATTCTCCCTGTTGTCTGCAGCAACAGAAACCTGGATTATTTAGCTGAGCGCATACTCTCCCAAAGTAGAGACATTATGGTTCACCTCCCTTGTGGCTGTGGGCTACTGTGTGATCTAGTCACAACTGATGGGCTGTGAACAGTAGTGCTATGTGCAACTCTCAGCTGGTAGACTTGAAGGAACAGAGCACGCCCTTCACGTCCATCGCCCTCCTCCATGCTGGTGGAATATAGAAGTAGAAGGAAGGATCTTGAACTATGCAGAAGAAGCATGGGGTCCCTGATCTTGAACTTTATTATGGAAGAAAAATAAACTCCTGTCTTTATTTAAGCTTCTGTCACTTGCAGACAAATCTAAATCCTGACATAGACACACATCAATCAGTATCTTAGAATACCACAAAATAAGGTGGATAGGTAAGCTAAACTAGAGCAGCTAAGCAGATGGAGATAACTGGAATATTACTGGTCAACAGAAAGAGCCCAATATGTTACAGCCACATGATCTGGAGAGCTAGAGATATCACCCAGCATCTTCAGTTCCTTTGGCCAAGGTTTAACTTTGCCAAAAGTCATTTAGCTGTTTCCAAAGATTTCATTTCAATTTACAATTATAGAAAATGTTCCCCAGTCATTTTATTGCCCTAAATTATACCTATAATCTTCCTAACTTGGAGTGTTAACTGATACACAATTATGTTTCTAGAAGAAAACCAGAATCCCAGCAGATGATTTAAAATAAAAGTTAAATGGATGTAATTTGTGTTTATTTTTGTCTTATTGAAACCAAATACTATAGAATTGCCAGTGTCTATTTCACAGTGATGATTTGAGGCAAGTAGATATAGTTTCCCTTTAAATAGCCTCTTTGAGGAAAGTATATGAGATGAGACCAAAACTGTCCAAGGAGGGAAGACAGGGAAAAGGCCAGGTCTCACCATGATCAGGTTCGGTCCACCCAGATTTGCTTTCATCCATGTCACTTTCCAAAGCTGCAGCCCTTATATTGATCTCTGGAAAAAAAAATAAATCAAGAGTCAGAATAAAAGGCACAAATCGGAGCACCTCAATGCTGATGGATACCAGCAATGACAACAAGTGTCACGTCTTGCTGGGGCAACTGAGGCATCTCCCAGAGCATTATCCTGTCCTCAGAGGAAAGAATATTTTTCTCTTTAACACTTCCAGTAGTTACCATCCACAATTACTTGCAGCTGCTGGCTGGTGGTGCAGCATAGAAGTTTTTAAAGCAATAAGCTCATCCCCAAAATAGTTTATCAGGTCCCTCTCAGTGATACATGCTCATCTTCTGTGGCTCCGGATTGAGGATATCAATTTATTGGACTGGGACTGAAAGTATTGGGGAAACTGTTTTCTGATAATTCTGCCTGCCTGTAGAAATTAGAACAATGCCTAACATATCGGTGTCACTCAAAAAAGACAGAATGAATAATGTATACATAAAATCTAATCTTGTAGGAATTGGAATTCTAAAGATCCCACAACGCAACATGTGAGGGAGGGATTAAAGAAGAGTTGAAAAGGGTCCCACCTCTTCCACTGTAATTAAGGCTTTGGCAGAGCTGTAAGCTGATTAAAGCTGACTATGTATGTGGTTGGCTTCCAGTTCTGTAGAGTAATTATGAAGCAAACGCTTATTTACAAAAGCCATTGACAATATCTACACTATGACAGAGCACTCATTCTAATTATAATTCATGAGCAGTACAGGGGAATATATACTTAAAAGAATACATTAACTAAGCATTTTCAGAATAACCTTCCAGTTTGTGCCAAAGTGTCCTTCTTGCAACACCCATGGCAATTTCATCAGATTCTAACTGTAACTTTCAAATCATACTGCGACCTAGGACCTCCCCAAAAGTCTGATGTCATCGATGGCAGTTAATTTCACTGCTCTGCAAATGTTTTCCTAACAGACTAAAAATAAAGTGTTTTCACAGCCTTGGGAATTATGGTAGCAAGATGCCCTCCCAGATATTAATCATTCTTGTTGAACATCTACATCTATTTTTTTTGAAAGATGTAGAGAAAATAAATTAATGGAAGGAGGACACAGCAGGGACCTGGGAGGGAGGCTGGTTTGGGACACAGTCCCACTGGGAAATGACCCTGCCCTAACCACAATGCAGCTCTTGTTGACAGAGATGGAAGGGGGGAGGGCTTAAATACGGAGGCACCTTTAAAGTGTCTGTGTTTATATTATGATCAAGAAGGTATGCTTCATACAAGAGCACTGCCAGCAGTTACTTCAAGGAGGTACAAATCTATCAAGAAGATTTTTAAAATAAAAAAAAAAATTGTTAGGTGAGAAGGTACCACTCTTCTGTTCCTTGTTAAGTCACGTGCACAGCAAAGCGCATCAGGTTCCAAGATGGAAAACAAGAGGCCTAATTACAGGATGTTTTAAAAAAATAATACTCAAGCAATTTTTGTATTTGTCAACTTGATTGCAAGCTGTAAAAAGTGATTAAGATACTCATTGTGCTGTAATTTCTTTATAATTTGGTATTTCTAGAGTCAGGTTTTCAAATGATAGCATCTGAAGGACGCTCCGAACTTAAATGCAAAATTAAAAAGCACTTGTACAACAAAACAAGCACTTACCAGTAGCTAGTTTTCAGCAACACAAAATGAAGCAGGTTTTGATTGTCATCACGCGCTAGGCAGGCAATTATTTCAGAGCCAGGGAAAGCTTCGAAAACGTGGCGCTTTTAACCAAGAAGTCCCACCTCTGGCTGGGCTCACACATACTCATCAGCTGAGACAAAAGAACGTTGCTTGGATGAATGAAGGCGCCATCAGCACGCTCAGAGACCACAGACCCAGGGAATATGAGGACTTAGGCTTCCTATTTGGTTGCACACATAAATGACTTTATTGACTAACTTTTGAAGAATCCCTTTCAAAAAACAATAGAATCAATACAGTCACCACTTCTCCAACCTTTGATGCCACACCCCCTAGCCAGGTGCTCCTCCCCCAGGGGTAACAGCATCACCTCCACCCCCACCCCAGCACTTATGCACACACTTGACTGCAGCCCCAAACTGAAAGTTTATTATGACACGATGGACTTTTTCTCCTCCCCCTTTCTCCCTGGGTCAGGCAGTTGCTTTGATGTAAGAGCCCATGGGGGAAACCTCACAATCACTCATTCAAGTGGTAAAAGCCGTCTGTTGTGTGGATTCCACTCCCTGAGAATACACCATAGTTGGAGACTCTTCTGTGTTTTCCTGGCATCTGACAGCCCCAGGCCCTCCAACAGAGGGCCAGATGGAGCTTCCGGACAACAAGACAGATGGCTGGCCTCAGGGGCAGGGAGAAGATCCAAGGCTTGGAAAGGGGTAGGGGGTTGCTCTGCAGGCCTTGAGATTGTCGAGCAGGTTCTGAACAGGCGGCCATGGATGGCTCGAGCCTGGGGAGATGCCTGCTCCAGACACCAAGATTCTCTGTGAGGGCTGCCTACCCCTCCCCACTGTGAATTCCGGGGTTAGATTATCAAAAATTTACAAGCTTTCACAAAATTTTGGTTAATTTTATTTATTTGAAAGGGAGAGACACAGAGAGAGAGAGAGAGAAACAGAGAAGGATATCTTCCATCTGTTGGTTCACTTCCCAGATGGCCACAACAGCACAGGCTGGGCCTGGCCGAAGCCAGGAGCCAGGAGCCAGGAGCTTCTTCCGGTTCTCCCACATGGGTGCAGGGGATAAGCACTTGGGCCACCTTCCACTGCCTCCACACGCATTAGCAAAAAGCTGGACCAGAAGCAGAGGTCAACCGATCCCAAGCACTCTGTGTGGAATGCGGGCATTCTGAGCAGCAGCTTAACCCAGCGCACAACAACCACCTCTGGTTATTAAAATAAAAAATAAAAACACTTAACAGAGTGCCACGGAGACCAAATTTGTGTGGCTTTCCCGCTTTTTCAGGAAAAAGAGTGCCAGCGAATCATCTCGCTCTCACCAAAGGGTAGCTTTCCCCGGGGGAGTCAGCAACAGAGGAAGGGAAGGGAAACAGGATACCAGCGACTCCTCCGAGGGCAGCGGAGGGAAGCGAGGCTCCGGGCGCTCACTGGCGGGACAGCCGCGAGACACCAACAGAGTGGACTCGTTATGGGCTGGGTTTGGGCCTACAGTAATTTTCCGGGCCCTTGCCTTTTATTTAGAGAAGAATTCTAAATCCACTCCCAAACAAGGCGTGCAGTATGATAACTTTATTTACAAAATGAGAAAAATACGCAAGCCCATTAGGGCTTTATTAAGGGACAATGCACCGAAGAAAGGGAATTATCATACCCTATTCTGCTCCTCCGGAGTCCATGTGCAGGAGAGAGTGAGATACCGCTCCTCCTAGCGTTTTACCCGCTTAGGAAAACGGAAGTGTTTACATGGTACCGCCCCACGTCCCAGGTAAGAGGAGGTACTTCCTGGGGAGGGGTCCCCTGATTGACGGGTAGATGAACAGGGCAGCAAAAAGCAAAGGAGGTGCTCATAAACTTATAATTTTATCTAAGCTTTCCCATATTAGTGTCAGGCGTGCCTTTGCCAGAGAGGCTTTCGGGCGTGGGCTTGAGAGAAAGGCAAAAGACTTGGAGAGGAGGGCAGGGAATGAAGGAAGCGCCCTCCTCCGCATTCCAGGCCAGCTTCTGCCAGGTGCCTACACCCTTGCCCCAGCAGGCAACAGCACCCACCATCCTTAGTGCACGTGCAGCCTGGGCTGGGCCAGCGTCTGTTGAAGTTGGCACCGACCGGCCCTCACCAGTCCTCGGATGCAAGCCTGGAGGGGCCAAGCGCAGGGTACCCAGTGTCCATACTGACCTTTCCCTCAGCAGGGAAGCAGAGGGTACCCCAGGTACAAAAGACCGACTGCAAGTGTTGGATTTCAGTTATGGCGAAAACGCTGACATTATACTCAAAGCATGTGCCCCTTCCTGAGCGTGATACTTTTCCACAGAGGGTCGTGGGCCAGCTGGTGTGGAGGATGAGCGATGTCAAAGTCAGGCAAGCCCTGTGGGAGAAGAGTTAACAGGACCTGCACACAGCCATGTGGGTCACAGCACTCAAGGCCAACTCTTTAAGTTAGTTTTTAATTATTGGGTATTTCTCTGGACGAAATTAAATTGTCTTGTGTATACAGTGGTAACTTACTAAACTCTTTTTCCTATTACTTAGCCCATTTGTGCTGCCGTGATAGAATACCTTAAACTGAGTGCTTTCTGCATTTTCTCCCAGTGCTGGAGGCTGACCAGTCTGTGACGAAGGTGCCAGCAGATGGAGCATCTGATGAGGGCTGTGTCTACTTCCAAGAGGACGCCCAACACAGTGTCCCATGTGGAAGAATCAAGATGGAGTCACTTATGCCAAACCCTGGCAACGTGGAGCTCGGAAGACATGAGAGGTGGGCCTCCACTCACGTTCCTTAACAACAAGAATGATCACAGGAGACTGCTGCAACCTCAACCCTGCACCCAGAACTACAACCTTGCACAGAGGCCACGTCTGCAAAGATGCCTCCCGGCATCTGCCTGTCCAGCTTTAGCCAGCCTCCACCCCTGTTATTGGGCATCCTTGTGTCCAAGGACAGGTGTTTCGAAGCAACTTGTGTGAACACCCTCATTTTACCTTCATAGCCCTTGCATTCTTTGCCTGACCTGGGAATGCCCATGGCCCCCCACGATTTGCCACAGCAGCCATATGCCAGATTGCAATCTTTCTGTTAATCCCCAATAAATTCTTCTTAGGAGAGTTCCTCTCCCTGCTGTTCATTTTCTCCTCACCTGCTGGAAAGGTGGAAGACAGCAAAAAGGGATTAAGGTAGGCTCCTCCAGCCCCTTTCTAAGGCACTGATCTTTCATAAGGGTGGAGAGAAAAAAAATTGAGAGTGAGGGATCCTTCATCTGCTAGTTCACTTCCCCAATGGCAGTAGGGGCCAAGAGTTGGTCAGGTGGAAGCCTGGAGCCTGGAACTCCATCAGAATCTCCCACAGGAGCAGCAGGGGCCCAAGCTCTTGGACCATTTTTCACTGCCTTCCCAGGTGCATTAGCAGGGAGCATTATCAGAAGTGAAGCAGCCAGGGCCAGCGTTGTGGCACAGCAGGTTAACGTCCTGGCCTGAAGCATCATTATCCCATATGGACGCTGGTTCAAGACCTGGCTGCACTACTTCCAATCCAGCTCTCTGCTATAGCCTGGGAAAGCAGTAGAAGACGGGCCCCTGCACCCGCGTGGGAGACCAGGAGGAAGCACCTGGCTCCTGGCTTCGGATTGGCGCAGCGCGCCAGCCATAGTGACCATTAGGGGAGTGAACCAACAGAAGGAAGACCTTTCTCTCTGTCTCTCTCTCTCTCACTGTCTAACTCTGCCTGTCAAAAAAAGAAGAAGAAGGAGAAGGAGAAGAAGTGAAGCAGCCAGGACTCAAACTTGCACTCCAATATGGGATGCCAGCATTGCAGGCAGTGACTTAACCATCTGTGTCACAACATTGGCCCCATGCCATGGCCTGGAAGAACAGTGGAAGATGACCCAAGTCCTTGGTTCTCTGCACCCGCATGGGAGACCCAGAAGAAGTTCCTGGCTCCCAGCTTCAGATCTGCTCAGCTCCAGACGTTGCAACCATTTGGGAAGCCAGAGGATGGAAGGTCTCTCTCTCTCTCTCTCTTTCTCTACCTCTGCCTCTTTGTAACTCTGCCTTTCAAATAAATAATAAATAAATAAATATTTTTAAAAATAAACCTTTTTTTTTTTTTTGACAGGCAGAGTGGACAGTGAGAGAGAGAGAGAGAGAGAAAGGTCATCCTTCTGCTGTTGGTTCACCCTCCAATGGCCGCCACGGCTGGCGCACTGCAGCCGGCGCACCGCGCTGATCCAAAGCCAGGAGCCAGGTGTTTCTCCTGGTCTCCCATGGGGTGCAGGGCCCAAGCACCTGGGCCATCCTCCACTGCACTCCCAGGCCACAGCAGAGAGCTGGCCTGGAAGAGGGGCAACCTGGACAGAATCCGGCGCCCTGACCGGGACTAGAACCCGGTGTGCTGGCGCCGCTAGGCAGAGGATTAGCCTGTTGAGCCACGGCGCCAGCTGAAAAATAAACCTTTTAAATAAGTAAATTTTAAAATTGCTTTCATTGATGTAGAACCTCATCATAGTCCCAAATTTAGCAACATTAAGTTACAAGTCAATCATAAATGGCCTCGTTGCTTTCACTGAGGAAACTATTTAGCTACTTATTTTTATAAATAGATTCATTCTGACTTATCATTCCTTGCTAATTTTTATGCCTTACCATTTTTTCACTATCTTATTTTTATACTTATTGTCTATTTTTTGGCAAGTAATACAAGTTTCCATTTGTTGAAGTGATATAAGCTTTCATTTAAATGAAATTATTTCAGCTTAATAAAAGGTAATGACAGTGGAAAGAACAGGTCTTCAAAGAAGGAGGTACCTTTCTCTGAAGGGAGGAGAGAACCTCCACTTTGAATATGACCTTGTCTAAACAAGATAAGAGTCGGTGAACTCAAAAGGCTTCCATAGCCTTGGAAACTCATGACTGGTGCATAGGGAGATTACTGATGCCATAAACAGGAGTGTCAATTTGTAAAGTCAACAACAGGAGTCACTGTGCACTTACTCCTCATGTAGGATCTCTGTCCTTAATGTGCTGTACATTGAGACTTAATGCTATAATGAGTACTCAAACAGTATATTTTGCTTTGTGTTTCTATGTGGGTGCAAACTGTTGAAATCTTTACTTAATGTATACTAAACTGATCTTCTTTTAAAAAAAAAAGAGAAGAAATTATCAATTCCCAACTTGACTCTCACTGGGATTAAACATGACAATAGGTCTGATCTGATTTCATCATCATTTAAAAAATCATCTATTATTTTTCACTTTATGTTTGTGTGGGAGCAAACTGTTGAAATCTTTACTTAATGTATGCTAAACTCATCTTCTGTAGATAAAGAGAATCGAAAATGAATCCTCATGTGAATGGAAGGGGAGAGGGAGTGGGAAAGGGGAGGGTTGTGGGTGGGAGGGACGGTATGGGGGGGAAGCCATTGTAATCCATAAGCCGTACTTTGGAAATTTATATTCATTAAATAAAAGTTAAAAAAAATTTCCACATATCAAAGAAAAAAATAAATAAAAGGTAATGAAAAGAAAATTATTAGTTAAATAATTGTACAAAGGACACCCTACTACCTCCGAAATCATGGAGCTGCTTCAAAGACTGAATTGTGGATGCTCTCAGGTGTTTCCAGAGCCTGCTCTTCCTTCTAGCATCCTGTGGTTTCCCAGTCTACTTATTGCTATTTTGAAAGATTTTGCTCGTGTTTTACAGTATCTAATTACTTGTGGCTTGGAAATGGAAACAACGCTTAAAAGTAAAAGCAGGATTGCTATTTCATTATCCTCTAGAGCACTGCCTCTCAAACTTCAGCATGCATGCAGATTACCCAGGATCTTAAGTAGCAGACTCTGTTCCAGTTGGGTCTGGGGTAGGGCCTAAGGATCCACATCTCTAACAAGCTCTCGCGTGATGCTGAGTTTACCAGTCTGGGAATCCCACTTGGATTAGGCAGGTGCTAGAAGCATATACATGATATAATGAAAGGAGCAGTGTGATAACTCTGATGCAATCAAAATATATTTGTCTTTGGCCTTAATATTAATCACAGTCCCTTTGTGCTGAAAGCAGGAAACTCCATCTTTTCAGTAATATAGGAACAAAAATATATTTCACACATCTCATGAGTCGTTTGCAAACATGTTTCTATCCACTTGACTGTTCTAGAATGTTCAACTGAAAAGTTTACAACTAACTTACCATGAGATCTGAAACTAAAAGTCTCAGAAGAAAATACATGGGGAAATCTTTTGACATTGGGTTTGGCAGTGATTTCCCATGTATCTTGTAGTTCTGTGCATCAAAGGACCCAATCAAAAGTAAAAAGGCAGCCACAGAATGAGAAAATGGTTATACTTCATATGTCTAATCATGGATTAACATCTAGAATATCTAAAATATTCTGTAATTCAACAGTAAAACCTGATTTTTCAAATGGGCAAAGGATTTGAATAGACATTTCTCAGAGAAATTACACAAATGGTCAACAACTACATTTTTAACATGCTCAAATCACAAATTGTTAGGAAAATACACATGAAACCACAATAAAATGTCACTTCGTACTCATTAGAATGGCTACGTAGCAGAAAACAAACAGAAAATAACAAGTGGTGACCAGAATGTGGGGAAATTGGAACTTTCATGTCCTCTTGATGGATGAGAAGGTAAAACGGAGCAGCCGCTATGGAAAACAGTGTTGTCATTCCTCATTACCCACAATTCCACT